GCGACAGTTTTAGCTTGCTTCAGAAAGTAAGGAAATTAAAGCGATTGCCTCACGTGTTCATTCGTCTGTCTGTCTGAGTACTTCCCCTCCCCTAAACCCGCAAACTTACCATCAATTTTCAATCAAGTTTGACAGAAGCCTCAAAGATTAGCACGTCCCTGTAAGTCTCTTGAAGCAATAGCTGGATAAATAGAAAAACCCCAAAACATGACATTCCCTGGAAGGAGAGCAAAGCACCATTACTCCATTATATCCTGTTTGTCAACAGTGCCTGGTCTACGCTTAGCCGTTGGGCTGCTCTAGATTAGCAAAGGCTCCTGCTGCCGCTCCCACACGGTAACACAGCCTTTGGCTGCTCTCCACCTTTCCCCTTCAGGCCAGCTATCTTAACAGCCATTTCTCAAATCTTTGAAAGAAACCTCAAATATGATACCTTTGTTCTTTCGTTTCTCTGTCCCAAGAGTTTCATTTTTGCTTCCTCTTCTCCTCACCACGCCGGACAGGCTAACTCTTCATGCTGGCACACCCATAAGGTCTCCCTCGCGACAGCACATGTATTACACGCTGTCTACGTGGCATATATTCTGGATGCTGCCATTACAAAACTTCATTTGTCCCCTCAGTCCTATGAAGTCTTCAAGCCCTCCAGACCTTTGAAAATACAAGGTAAAGCGATGTATGGAGCAGGCCGCTATCATCTGCCAGGTAAGATGCTGGGTTTCAAGATCAAAGCATCCCTCTTCAAAGGCCTGTGGGCTGGGAAACAGGGCAGCACCCTCTGGAATATACATATCAAATATACTTTATTATCAGAGGTAAATGTCGTTCACTCCTTAATGCAGCACAAGATGTAGCAATTTTTAAGAAGTTAGGCACCAGAATTAGATTGTCTAAACTTTCTCTATTTCCTGGACATGTGTATTTGTACAACATGGCAGGCTGGGGACTGGAGCATTTTTCCTCCTCTTCACTTATATGAAAATGTAATAGAAAGACAGATGGAATTAAATCCAATTTACAGTAGCTGCTTAGATGATGCCATAGGGTTTTTTTTTCAGCTGACAGGGGAAGTATGCTGCCTTCTAAACTTCTTTATTTTACCTGAGCACCGCAGGTGAAGGGAGAATGGGTCGAAAGGCTGGCCGGGTCCTGGTGACAGGAGCTGTCACGTGCCCTGCCTCACTCTCCCGCTTGTCGCATATGCAAACCCATTAACTGGCTTCAATTGTGCCCTGCGGGGCTTCCCCAGGGGAGAAAGCAAATGCTGCCAAGTTCATGCTTGGGCAAACTTTTCCAACCCCAAATGAAGGATCTGTCTTTCAGTTATTACACATGATCTGAATTTTTTATTTGCTCACCCACAGGTGAGCACAGTAAGGAACTTTTGTATTTTTGTTGCCGAAAGTCGTGAGATCAGAAGGATCACAATGTTCCTCCTAGCTTACAGTCACAAAGGATCACATCTACTGTCTGTCAAAGTCCTGCTGACATACTTTTATCTTGACGGTTTGGTCTAAAGTTTCCACTTCATGTTACAAAGAGCTGCAAGAGATCCCTTCAGAGGTTAAAAAATGATGGCCTGTTGGCTCTATTTGCACCCCAAGGCGTATCATTTGAGGCCAGATTCCTACAAGTGGCACATTCAGTTATTTCCATCTTCCCATGATACCAGTTGCTGCTTCTGCCAGCTCTCTGAAATGTTTTCCTAAGGTAGGAGGAGGAGGAGGGCTGAGAGAGGGAGGGAGGGAGACAGAAACACGCAACAAAAGACAATTACTTTCCAGAAATTACTGAAATCTCATCCTCTTCTTGCTTTTCTCCCTAATCCTTCTTTCAGAGAAAAAATTTCTATACCATAGACAATAATTTCCAGTATTTCTCTAGTTTCTGTCTTAAAATGGGCCAGACAGCATACGAAGAGAATTTGGTTCCCAAATTTTCACCATTGTGCCTCTGCCACGTGGAGCCACAAGGAAACTGTATTTTCCTAGGAACAATGCGAGAATAGAAGATTACAAGAAAAATCACTGTTGGGGTATCCTCTTTAATTCCCTCTGGATTTATACAATCACTTCAGTGAGAATAAAACCAAAAGCAAAGGTATATCACTAAAAGGAAAACGTAGCGACTATGTGTATTAGTACACTTTGGGGAACATGCACAAAGAACGTACGTGCGTCTCCAAAAAGGGTTATGGTATGAAAAGTTTTGTCCCAACAAAGCCTAGGGAACCCAGACAATGGATTTTCAGGAATTATTCTTTAATCAAAACAGAAACAGCTGTATTTCACATCGCCCAGTCAATGTATATTGCTGGAAAAATCAACAGATACCTGTACAGAAAAACTGGCAGCCCAGTATCTGAAGGTGCCAGTACTGAGACTATGCAGATGACAGAAGCTGGAACAGCCAGGGGTTTCCAGTTACACATAGGTGGCTCAGAAGGCTGACAGAACGGCTTCTGATTCAGTGATAAAGTCCCTCTTTCAAGCATCAAAGCCAAACATCAACATTCTGATGTATCTCCTGAAGCACCTGTATCTCTTGGAATCCACAGCTCTCCTGCAGTCCTCTCTGCAGAGCAGCTGCCCTCCTGCCCAGTCTGTTTCCATTCATACAAGGAGTAGACAAGATAGGAAAAGAGCATTGCAATGGATTTTGTGTACGGCAAAAGACGTTACTTAAAATTGCCTCACTTCAGGTACCGTTCAAAACAAGGGCCCAGAATTTTCTGTGTCAGATAATTCCTTTAGGACAAAATCCTGATTTGGGATCCTATCTGAGAGCTCTTAATTTCGAATAAACATTTTTATTTTCTCTTATTCACTCTTGCAGATAAGGAACATGACTGTTTCGAGTTTTTTCATTGCAGAAAGATGACTAAATAAAGCATCCACGGAAGTAAAATGTAAGCAGCAGGAGATTTCAATGGGAAATGGTCAGACAAATGCACATTTTTTCAAATGGCAGCATGTAAAGGTATGCAACTTTCCATAAGCAATTTGGTTGCAGCACATAAAGTCCTGTAACATCATGTGAACAACTTCTGCCAGAGTCATTTCATGCTTTTTTCCACTTTGAATTCTTAATTACATGGTGAATCAGATGTGATTTTTAGTGCTAGTGTAAACAGAACAAACGGTGACATTTTAAAACCACATTTATTTTTAATACAAAATCTGTTGCACTATTACAGAAGTGAGCCTGTATGTTTACCCCCACATGCACAGATAATTCAGCATCTACAATTAAATAAGAGCAAAATTATATTTCTCTTTTACCAAAACCACTGGCAAATCTTATTAAGAAACGTTCTCTTTGTGCTTTGTAATCAATGTTTGTAGAATTCATTTCTTGTTTCGGTTCCCATTAAGAAAACTGATCAACGGAAAGCTCAAAGGTGCGAGAGAGGCTTGTTACAGCTAGCTTACCTTCGTGGTTACTTCAGTTGTGCTTTACCTACAACAAACACATGAAAGCTGCGAGGGGCACTACGGTCTAAGATAATGCACTGGCAAAAGCTCTGAATGGGTCAATTAGGAATCTGCGGTAAATAAGCAGAACAGTTCACTATTTTGTTTTCACAGCAAAAAAAAAAAATATATTTAAGTAGATGCTTTAAAATACCATGCACACCGTTGGCTATAGTACTTCTTACACAGTACAACATAAGCTTCCTTGTTGTATTTGTCTGTAACACCTAGAAGCATATAGCGTCTACGCTTTAAAGTGTATTTACAAATTCAACAAAATATCTACATATAAAAAGCTTACTTAAAATTAAACTTGATGCAAGTTATGAAAAACCAATTTATTGGCAAATGAAACTGAGCATTCCTTCAACCATAGGTTGTTATAAAAATTTATACTTGGAGGTAAACATTTGATCGATATAGTATGCAAGAAAATAATTTCGTAACCGCTAACGGTAATCCTTTGCCACTAAACCACATCAGCACTTGCCAGACCGAATCCTGCGATTCCGGGTGGTAACCCCGGCACTGCTCCAGGGGGTAGGTAACTACAAAGCTGCCGTACCCGTCGGGCCAGGACGCAGAGGGAAATGCACTCTCGCTGCTGTAGTCGGCTGGTTTGGTTTTTTAACAATTTATTTCACAAGAGCTTATGCCTTGCTGTGCTAGTAAATAATTTAATTCTCGTTGTGTTTTGGTTTTGTGTCTGGTTTGTTGTTTTTTTTTCTAATCTTCTAAGGCCATGAAAACATGTTGTGCTTTAACTGTCTAGAAAGCATTTATTCTATTTTCAAGGGAAAAAAAACCACATACTCTTCTTCGTGTAATTTAAAATATTTAAAACCTTCCATTTTTAGCACAACAGTTTCATAACACCTTTTTTTTCTTCACATTTTTACTTTATTTGGCAATGACAGTAGTCCACTAATCACAGTTTACTGCACCAACTGATTTAGTAGTACAGTGCATTATGGAATGCATACTGTATAAAGGCACTGAATGTATTCTGCCCTGTGTTTTCTGGAATATTTCCTCTCACTTTAAAGTTTTTCTTTCAGTGACTGTACAAATTCCAAAATGCATTGCAATGCGTATCTTTTATGCCCTAAAATCAATCCGATGTGTTTTGATGTAAAAATAGAACACTGTGCTGCTGTAATACTTGATAGATTAAAAAGGCTATAAAGTAATAGGAGCAAAGAGCAGATAATAGGGTCTCATTAAGCATCAGCAAATGCAAGTGTCATACTTAAATCGTTTAGCAATTATATACTGTACATACTGTTCCTAACTGTCTTGTAAAAAGACATTTGATAGCTAGACATTAAGTCACCAATTTCACAACAATGTCCACAAAGACATTGGAGTTCTATATAATACTACTATAACACTCTGACAATGAAAACGGAATTCATACCCAGGGATTCAGCTGAGGACTGCGTGACAAATTGTCAAACCATGTTTTTAGAGTGTACATGAGATTACCTGTGAATTGTGGAGCATTGTTTTCCATGCATTATACTGTATTTTCAACAGGAAACAAAATTACAAGTCGATGTTATTGTTTGTGTCAGTTCATTCTAAAAAAAGTAAAAATACTCCAGTTTTGAACAAAATCTGAATTTCGTATTTCGATTCATACTAACATACCACTTAATGTGTCGTTAGGCTGCAGAATTGTATTGACCTGCGTATTCCCGTAGCATAAACCTCTTGTGGTGAGGAGCTCCGTTACCTGCATGTTCATAGTACGAGAGGGAGGATGTACAAGTGCTTTAAACAAACCGAAGACACGAGGGGATCAAGTTCTGTGGTTACACAAAGGAATTCATGGCATTTACAGGAGAAGGAGCCTCAGAGCTTTCGTTTCCTTCGGCAGGTTCTTTCTCTTTTTTACCGCTATACTGTCCGATAAAGGAGCCATCCTCATTGAACTGACCGTTTACACCTTCTCCATAGTCAACTAAGCTATCGTCACTGTCCTCTTTTTTCACAGTTCTGTCGGAAGGTGTCCGGCTTCCTTTTTTTAGAGGTTTATGGTCCTCTGCATCACTGGAGACAAAAGCAAACAAACGAAAGGAATTAACTGATGTATTATTATACATGAAGACAAAATTAGCCATGCATGCAGAGTCTCTAAAAAGCACGTGTGCAGCCCTATGATCCTTTAGTAAACCCACATCACATTGTAGAGACGGATCAATATGATGCAGCTGACATGAAGACATGGTGTAGGAATGGTTTAAACAGAGAATGTCTTCAGTGGAGGGAGGGAGGGAGGGGGGTTTGTGGTTTCTTTTCTTCCTCCCCCCCACATCGTGCATGACTCTTCAATGATAAGACTTGTGCCTTTGGCTTGGAAGCAATTTACACGCAACTGTGAGCATTAAAAAGTGGGTTGTAAAGTTATTAAAAAAAATAATTTATTTGTTCTCCAAAGTAACAAGCTTATGATGTGTCGTGAAGTTAGTCTGTTAAACTTCTTAATTTCTTTGACCCCTTGTACATGAATGAAGAATGAATCTGGTTAAATGAAATATACTGATTTTCTTTACTAGTATAAAGAAAATAAAAGTATTGCATTTCAAATATTTTGTTACATAATGCAGGCCAGACTTGCAATTTTCAACCTTACCTTTCAAGAGACCTACATATTCCATTAAAAGGGTGCAGAAGAAACAAATGAAAATAGCCTAAGAAGAAAAGCAAAGTCCATATCCTGATAGTGATCAGTATTTTATCAATAATAATTTGCTCTTAAAATTGCTAAAACATTTACTGTATACAGGTAAAGCAACAATTTAGCTCACAGTAGGTACGCTTGAACAGTTAAGAGCATGCTTAGTTTTTGTCACTACTTATTGGATCAACCTCCTTATCCTTAATCCGTAGCTGATCACGTGTTCTGACAATGATGATGGTCATCTGGAGGAAAGGAAAGAAAGGCAGGGAGGAGAGACTGCTCCAGCAAAGCACTGTGGGCTTTCCCTTGCCAGTGAAAAAGCTGCAGCACCATCAGCATCCCCAAATAAACGTGCAGCTGTGGTAAGCTTGTATTTCATGAAACAGAGGTAGTTGGGCTCTTTTCAGAATCCTTTACGCTGCGCTTCAGTTTCAAGATGAAGATTTAGGTGGCAGCTCTAAAGCATTCCCAATTAGAAACCACTATTGCCAGCCTTGCTTTTGGGTGCAATTATTTACCTTGTCCTAAACAGAACATGGGACTTTATTTGCATGTAGGGTACAAAAAAGTAAGTGGGTTTGGGGTTTGTTTTTTTGTTTATATTTTATTTAAAGACTCCCAGCTTCTGGAAAATATAAACAAACACATCTAGAATATCAAGGAAATAAAAATGTGTTTACAATATCCACAATATTAGGCTGAATACATATCCAGCAAATTATTTTAACTGTGTAATTCCTAAAAACAAATACCTTAGTTCTTCCAATAATTATATTTTCTGGTTTTTTCTAATGAATATCTTTGAACACCCAGAGAAACCATATATATAGCACACAGACGGTCCCACAGATTATACTGGTAGCTAACAAATGTCCCCATTGAGAAACATTTCACTATTGCTAGAAAACTATTACGTCAATTTTCCAGCAAACTGCTTCTCCTCATCTAATTACCTTTTTTTTGAAGACTCCAACTTATCATAGTCTAAAATAAGTACACCTCTAATATGCATATACTTACAGAAAAAGCATACCAGAGATTTTATTCTTCTATGCATACACAAGAAGGAAGTGGTAGGAATATCTCTCTTATGCATATGTAAGAAAACCTTCAAGTTTAAAACACACAAAGGAAAAACTCTAAACTTGACTGTATCAGTCTCGACTTGGTTTTAATTATTGCTGTGTACATGGCATGAGGAGAAACATCATATCCCTGATCTTCTGTGCTCAGTGAAATCGCAAAGTATAGGCTAGTAACATTTAAAAGATTGACTCCGAAATGTCAAGCATCCAGCAGCAAAGTGCAGATGGCTATCATAAACGCTGCACACACAGGGGGATTACCAGGACAGGACTGAAGAGCGTTCATTCTGGAAGGACCCTGTATTTAGAAGGTGGAAGTGAGAATTCGGTATTTGAGAATGACACGCAATGCAGTTCCTCCATTGCCCTCACCAGAGGGCATCGGAGTCACTGTAATAGGTTACACCATCCCAATGAAGATCAGACCCTCACTTTGAAGTAGTACCAGCTTCTGCTGCTCCCCAGGAAGAACGACCTGCAGTGTTTAGTGCTTTCTGGGTAACAGCGTTTACTAAAGGAACACTGCACACGTAGTTTGCTGTTTGATTTTAGATGAGCAGCTTCTTAATTGCTAACACCATAATACGTAGGAATGAAAATAAATTGCCTTTGTACCACATTCCAACTGGTCAAGAAACTCTGTGCAAATATTCTGAAACGTGACTCTATCCAGTGTAATTCACTAGGCTGGAATATACACTAAATAAATAATATACCATCACTGTATGAAAAAAATCCACATTTTTGTGTTTAATCCAATATAAAGCTCGGTTTTCATTTATAATTTAGATAAATCCGGGTACAGGAACTTCTGCTCTTAGGGTTTTTGTGTTTGCATTTTTGAAAACAAAGTTTATTTATAAGGTGAACAATGAAGAAAGACTTGCACAGCTGGTTGCATTGTGTCTGTGATTTTTCTGTATCTTAGGAAGGATGCAGATTCTACTATCTGCATAATTAAAACCAAACAAACCTGCAGGTTTACCCAGGAGTGTACCTACACAGAGGTGGGTGCTGGTGTAAGAGCACCATTACAGCAGATGCAAAAATCAAATCTGAATTGGAGATTCCCTCCCTTTTTGCGCTGTACAAGTCCAGAAAGAAGTTCTGCCAAGACTCTGGCAGTGCAAAAAAGATGTGGGATTATCCAGGGTGCTTTCTACTCCTTGTTCAAGAAAAGGAAATATATGCCATGGTATCATTTATTCTTTATCAAACTTGATTATGACTCTTGTAATAGATAATACAATGTTTGGGGCGGAGGGGAAGGAACTCCGCAATAAAAAGCAAAACAAGCAGGAGAGAGAAAAAAAAATTAAGACATCTGTGTTTTGGACGGCACTTTTGTAATCCTGGGGGGTGCCAAACGGAGGGAAATGAATGTATTTTCTCTTTGCTGCCAAGAAAACTGCAAAAGCTGCTGAATTGCACTACGAATATGGATGCCCAAAGAGCTATAGAACACTTTAGGATATAGAATATATAATATTATATTGCAAAAACATGTTAAGGCCATATATTTTGATACAGTATCGGCAAGATTTGCTCATCTTGCTTACGATTGTTTGTAAAACTATTTCAAAATGCAACAGGATAGATCATAATTTCTTTTAGTTTTTGTTTGCAGTTTTGCTTGCTGACTTTTATACTTACCTGGTGTAGTATCGTGAAATAAAAACACAGAGTGTAAATTGAGTTGACTAAAATCGAGTGGAAAACTGAAGATGTTTTTGAAAAGCGTCATGTGTGCAGTGCATACAATTAACAGGGAGACAAGAAGTACCGGGAAGGGAAGGAACGAAACGAGAAGTAAGAATAGGTATAAATTCTATATGTGGATCAGACAGGTAGGAAAGCTAAGTGTAGTGACACTTTTGCTATTTGTTGTCTTACAAATAAAGACCATTCTAGTCGCTTTTTAAGAACAAAACTTTCTCAATGAAGACTGACATGTACCAGTCATTTTGATAAGTACTGATTACAGAGTAATCACACGTATTTCTTGCCCTTTTAGTAAGAAAGTTTTTAATATTAAAGCATGATTTAAATATTTTCCATGAATGATTGCTAATATATGAATACATGTTTCTTTTTCTTCTTAGTTTAATGAAATACCTATCAAACTTGCAGCTAATAATTAAGAGACACAAGAAGTACGGAGGTGACAATAACATGTGTAAGTGCAAAGTACAAACTTCTTTTTTTTAAAAAAGTACTTCCATTTCACAAGCTCATCAGTTATTGTAAGAAATATGTACCTTGAAATCTCCTTTCTTCTTTCAGCTTTTCAATTTTTCTTCCTTAGATATGGGCACATGCAGCAACCAGTCAGAATGGGGAGGACAGTTTTACGATGCCTCTGCAGTCCAGCAGGCAACTAGTTCTCGCTAAACTTTGCCACATTCATGCACATGCGGAAAGACTCAATATATGGTTAGCAAGATACTCCTTTTCCTCGTAACACAACTTCCAGACGAAAGGCAACATAAAACAAACAACATGGGTTAAGTGTTCTGGGCTATTGGACGCAGAAAGAGGATGCAGAAGATGAAAACTGTTGGCAGTAAATTTCTTTTTCTGTGCCCTCAGGTCAACAGCCCAGAGATGTTTGAGTATAAGCAGTCGTGTGAAACCACAGATGTGCTTTAAGCTATGGATTCCCTGCACGCTCCAGGAGAACCTCTGCCCCAATACCTAACAGGTTTCTGCTCACGCTCCTAAATTGACAGGACTGTGCCGATGAAGAATGCTTTCCCTATAAACCTTGGCACCTGTATCAATCCAGACTTCAAAATATTTTACCATTTCTAATCTAGCTAAGACGTAAGCACACCTGTATTAGTTTTCCCAGGTAGTTTTTCTTTAGTATCTCTGTAACACTCAATCTTCAATCCTGGCAGAAGCTGGAAAAACTGGGAGATTAAGCCCTGTCTTTAAATGGCAATGCGTTGAAAAAATTGTTGTTAGCCAAAGAACCTGACTTGCTCCTAGTGGAAATTTTAAAGAAAAATCTCCTTGAGAGAAATTCAATCAAACTTTCCACCTTTGCTATTTCTAGTGGAAAATTTAAAAGCACTGATTTAAAAAGTAGTGACACAGATGTTCAAGAATTAAAATAAGAACCGTCAAAGAAAGCATGTGTGCTTAAATGAGGACACGATAAGACGACTGCCAAATCCAGTCAGACTATTCAGAGACAAGAATTCTTCAGGCAGTTCATTGACATCATCTCTTGTGCTAGAAGAGACCAAGCTTAGAATTACAGTGCTGAGGCACAAATCATTGCTAGGTCCCCCTGGAAACACACCTAAGCTGCAATAAAACTTGAATAACTACAAGAGAAAAAAATACTACTGTAGTTACAAACTATACTCTCACTGTTAATCAATCCAGAACGAGAAGGAAGAGTAATAGATTCCCCAGCAATATCAGAACTCTCCACCAAGCATTTCCAGAAAGTCTCACGTTATATCCAAGAATTTCTAGTAAAAAGTGTCAAAATGTTGAAGAAGGGAGGCAGAATAATTCAATAAAATGTGCAAACATCCTGTGTTACCACACTAACAGTCCTACTACTACAGTTGCGTTGTCCTGTTCGATCTTCCTAAGAAGATTTTGCAAACTGCAGTGAGATGCCAGATGTCCATACTTCCTGTGAAGTTCAGTAAGAAATGCATGCTTGCAGTCTCTCCCTACCCATGAACCCACAGGTCTGTAGATGCCATAGCTTCTTCATTTCTCTTGATTTAGGGCCCAGGATGGAAATTTAGGCTGATTTATACACCTACACTGACCTGAACAGGAGCTCTAGATAGTCTTTAAATAAACGTACATCTGTGGTACTGCTTGTATTTCTTGCAGTTTCTTGGTGTAAGCATTAACTGTCCACAGTTTACTATCTCAGTCTTCTACAACTCAGGAAACCACCAGCCTGTAGTGCAGTTTGCTAGAGGCACTGTTTTCCCTTATTATGTAAAAGCGCGGGTACGCCTCCCGTCACAGGAACAGAGTGCAGCCAGCCGTTCTGTGGTTCCGGAAACACCCGCGTTTCCTAGAGCATTATTTCCTTCGTTAGATCGATACGGCGGGGAAATCCAATGTTGGCTGGTTCTGCAGAAAGTGTGCTCTTAGATGAAGTTAAAGCGTGCAAAACTTACAACGAGTCCGAGCCTTCTCAGGAATGCTGCGGAGCCTAGAAATCGAATGCAACAAAAACCTCCCCTACGATTGAGAGCTATGACTTCTCCAGAATATCTTAATTAGTCATTAAGATTTAAGTAATTTAATAATTTAAATCTTATTTTGAAACAACTAATTTTCTAAGCATTGGGCTTTACTTGTCCAGAAATACTGAAGTCTATTCAGTATAAATTTCCAAGTCTTTCACTCTGCCCAGTTCCTGAGCGAGGAGGAAGTGAGTCTATGTTCTTAGAAAGTTCCTCTTGATGGCCAGGTGTCTCCCTGAAAGTGAGATGTCCTTTCATACTTGGCATGAAATGACTGTGAAACCTTATACTTTCCCTTCCCTCCTTTAAACTTCGGAGGAGAACGAAAGGAGCTCAGACACTTGTGAGGATAACAAAACGAAGAGCTTCCAACAGAACTCTTTTTTTTCAGCTGACGTAAGGAGTGTTTCTGTTCTGGGAAATCCTTCAGGATCTGAACCAAGGATTCACCAAATAGATTGCCACCTGTGTAGGGTAAAGACAGCAGTTTGCATTTTAGATCTAGCGACGAGGTCCAAGGACGTAGCCATATAGCTCTCCAGGCTACCGTGAGGCATGCCATATTTTTAACGGTGAGTCTGAGAGAATCCTCAGCTGCGTCATGGATAAAATCAGCTGCAATTTTACACAGCCTGTGTTTCTTCTGCCAGGCACCAGATGGGACCCATTTCTTTTTGAATCGGGCTCGTTCTTCCTCCAACCATATTAGTAACGCTCTAGAAGCATAAGTGCAGTAGATAGATACTCCAAGCTGGGCTGCAACAAGCTTGAAAGACTTTTTAATTGCTTCCTCAACCTTTCTATCAGTAGAATCTTTAGGGAGAGCATCCACATTAGCAGGCACTGATGGTACAGAATTACCAGTAACCAATGCCCTGTCTACCTGAGGCAAGGTCCCCCACAAAGCAGCTTTATCCACTGGAAGAGGATAGAGCTTATGTAGGACTGCCGGGGCTTCATGCTTTGCCTCAGGATTACCCCAAATCCTACAGACAAGATCCTCCACTGCTGAATGGATAGGAAGTGCATTATCTGCCTTGCCTTCTTCAGAGGGGATAAGCAGTTCTTCTGAAGCACATTCAGATTTGGAATATTTTAGCATTAACACTCTCTTTATGTGCTTGAACAGATAATTCTGATTCTTCATGTCAAACTTACGCAGAGGATCTGGTCCATCTTGCTCTTCTGTAGGGGATTCAGATGAAACCTCCCCATCTTCAGGTGATGACTCAACCTCCAATGCCTTGTCAGCCTCAGACTTCTCCTTCCCAGAAGCTGTTTGATCTTTTAAACTGTCCGTATGGTCAGACTCAAAAGTTTGGGAACTGCTCCCGCTTGCTTCTAGAGGAACCACCCGAACTTCTGTAACTGGTACCCTGGGATGCTTTACTGAATGGGACCTAGCTTGTGCCACAGAAGTTATACTTTGTTTGGCTGCTGTCAAAGCGTCCTTTAAGACAGTAGCTAGCTCAGGCAAAATTACAGATTTCATTAATGAATTCTTTTCAGATTCAGAGAAGTGAGTAGTAGTAGAAGGTCTTACCTTCCTGCGGTAGGAGCTCTGAGTGTCTTCTGAATCTGAGCTGTAGTCTGGGGTCTGGCTGAACCAGTGCTGGAGAGAAGAATGCTGCCTTGCCAGTGATCCATGAATTGAGTTGCAGCTGAGGGGTTGCTGGAAAGGGGATGGCTGTCCTGCCTGAGAATCTGAGCCCTCCTCCGACTCCATTACCTGTTGCTCAGAAGCATGATGTCTAGAGCCATGCCTGTACTTCCATTCATCTGACCGCTTTTCCTCTTGGCAGAGGGAAGCAGAGACAGAACTAACCCTTGTAAGCTCTGAAGACTGCCTAGCTCTCCTCCTGGTGTAGGAGGTCTCTGATCTGGTGCTGGCGTATTGATCCCCTGACCTTCTGAAGAAGCTGGATCTGTCAGATCTCACAGATTTTGCTTTGGTAAAGACAGGGTCTGCTTCAGGAGAATTGGCACAGCTACCTTTTCTTTTCTTTTCCTTGTCCAGTTTCTTTCCTGTCCAAGCAGACATGGACCTGAAGTGAAAAAAGTTCAAAATACTCGAATTCCTAGATCTTTCAAAAATTACTTCTTTTTTTTTTTTTTTCCAAGGGAAACCCTCTATACCCTTTTTCCTCAAAGAAGCACTGCATCATGACAGACAAAATGGGAACTGAGTGACTGGAGTGATGCTGGGCTGCAGAGAGAGTACCAGGATATCTTCTGTAATCTGACTGGTTGCTGCTGCTGCCCTGTCTCTAAGGAAAGAACGGAGGAAAGCCCAATATAGACTAATTACACAAAAACATGTTTTAGAAAGGAGTTTTTGCATTGTAAATAGGATGAGCTCTTTCAGGTGAACAAGTCTCAAAGCTTGGTATGCACCAGTCCACAACCAGCAGACATGAGGTGGATAATTGCATTATAAAATAATTTAATAAAGCACTAGATGCTTCCACAGATTAACTCAAGCCGCTTAAGTATCGAAACATAAATTCAAATCTTGCTGCAGGTCCCACATGAAAGCGGACTCGAATAGTCTTATTCTAGCCTGAGAAAATGTGTTGAGGTCGCATCGTTTGCACAATTCTGTACGAAGGTCATTTTCTGCTGCTGAAAGATCCAAGTATCGAAACACTGAGGAGCAATAAAGGAGAATGCAAACTGGACTCCCTAGGAAAACTTACACAGTACTTATTTACCTCTGCTTCCAAACATTGCTTCACACTTGTCTTTTTATCAGCTGCATTTAATTAATCCATATGCATTTAATGCTGTAATAAAATACTGTTCTGAACTCATGAACCTAAAAACAGAGTATCGTATTCTTTAAAAATCAAGGAATAATAAACAAACTGCTCTCTGGCATTCGGAACTGTAACTCTAGTCCAGTTAGATCAAGATGCACATTTCCTTTATGTGAAGAAGCTATGGCAAGAGAGTAGATCCTTTTTTAAAAAACTGATTTTCCTACTAACAGTTGTAAATGTCACATCTTCAAGACAATAAAGGGCTTTTACAATGCTTTTGACACAGGAATGCATTATAAAATCTATTATAACACCCATGTAAAATAGAATGGTATTGGCATATTAGAAAATAATATTATTTCCTGTACCAATGAAAAAAAAAACAAATAAAAGGCAGCATATTTAATAAGTTATACTCATAATTGTTATATGAACAGACTTGCCAAGGCATGCTTTTTGCAATGCCAGGAGATTCAGCTAGCCTACATCTACGATAAACGAAGCGAGTCAGGAATAAGAGGTGTTACATGTTTCGAAGCTGTTTGCTATGGATCTTGTGCTGAAATACATGAAGGGGAGATTTGTTTTTTCTTGTAGGACATTCCTTCACCTCTGCGTATAACATCACTTCCGTGTTATGGGATTAGGTGTTAGTACTGGCAGCCATTTCAAATGCATTTGTTTCCCAGTCAATGTAACCCAACATTGTCTTTACTAGGCTTTAGTTAGAAATGTATTTTCCAAAACCATAATGCTAAATGTGCTCTGACTGAAAGGACACTGTATCTGGTATTTTAACTACCTGAAAGATCTGTTTGTAAATAAAGATTCCTCACTTTGAGACATTTGTGTTTGAATCTGGATTCCACCTTGCATTAGTGAATGACTTATTCTAAGCTTGGATGTTTAATTTCTTTTCTGATGGTGTGGTTGAACTGCTATCTATACCTCTATACAACACAGGATACAGAATCTTTGTCAACATGGAAAAAATGTTAGTTTTGAATTAATAAATGTGGTATTATATACAGAACATGTGTGATATGAACAGCAAACATGGCAAACCACATCAGTTGCTCACCTGTATTCACCAAATGTTCCATCATCTTCCTTCATAGGTTGAATTTCTGGATCAGCATGTGCATCCTCCTTTTCCTTCACTAAAATATTTGAAATAGTAATTTTTATCATGAAACTGCAAGACAAGAAAACTTAAGACATTATTTTCTCAAACTCATCTCATTTGGCAGGAATTTGGTTTGAATAAGAATAATTTTTTGAACTGGGGCCTTAGGCTGTTACATTTCTTCTTTTGAAGGAAAAGATCTGCTAATTAGTTACAGAATTTTATTTTCATTCAAGTACAAAATACTGTATGTTATTCTGTATTAGTAAAATTTTTCTTTCTTTCATCTCTAGCACTAAAGTTTTGTTTAAAATCCTACTAAAATACTTCCTTTACTTACGTTATTAATAGAACCATTGTTTGTTGAAATCTGAATAATTTACTTTTACTTATCCATGCTCTGTATTTTGTCTTGATATTCCTCTTATACTGACTGATAAAACTGAATCAGATTCACTTCTGTTCACTGTCAGTTTGTACACTTTCTGCTTTCTTTTCATGCACTAAGACTCCAGGAAATTTTAAATAGTACTTTAAGAATTATTAATATTGGAAAAAATGGTCTGTCCGTTTCTTATTTTCCATAACACGATCAAAAGCAAAGCAAAACCACCTACACTGGAAGCTAAATTTAACACAACTGTATCTCTTGCACATCTTTATTCACTGGTGGGAATAAAAAATCTACGTGTGTAACTTGTCCCCATAAAAAAAATTATGTAGCACTATATCCTTCGACAGAGAAACCTGCTAGCACCTGAGAAGACAGATGTTTATGGAAGACATATATTTCTATAAGTTAAGGCTGTTGACAGAGTAAAATAATATACTGACTTCTAGAATTATCTTTATGGTTCTTCCCTTTGCCTTTTCATTTCTGTTTTTCTGGCTGCTACTCAAATCTTTCCCTTGTTTGGCAGATGCAGTTATATAAGTCGATATAGAATCTCTTATCTTTTACTCTAGTAATTTCCACACCCGATTTGTACATTATTAGTTTATATGCTGATATTTAAGATGATATGAATCATTCCTGACAATATTTTTTAAGTCTATAATTACCATACTGCATAACACCTTGAAATGTTTTCTGGCTGCTATAATTTCATACTGAAATAATTTATTACTTTTTTCAAACCATAGGCAGTCTCAAGATGACATGCTAAAATTACAACAAAAAAGAGTTAATAGCTTTGTGCTTGGCATTTGTTACTATCTATGGAACAGAATATCTGTAAAAAAAGAACTTGCAACGACACAAGAAATACAATTAGCTCTAGAGTCACCTCTATAAGCAAGAGTTCATACTGAATCGGGAAATCTTACATATATTCAAGGACTACTTTTATGTATGTGTCTATATACGCACATGTGTGTGTGCGTAAAAAAATTAATACCTTACATGTAGTAATTCTGTAGAAGCAGAGAAAAGAAGGGCATAGCAAGGATCTCCACAACGTAATGACAACCTTAGCATCCAACTGCCTTCTACGCTTTTACTCAAACTATATTTTACCCTCCTTCTATGTGGTGGCTCATTCCAAGTCCTCCGTACTCTTTTCAGTTTCATCACTTCACTTGTTTCATTCTCCTGATTTCCCTTCTCTTTTCCTAATTCTCTCCTCTAAGAGTCACTTTTCCTATATCCTCTGTAATCTCATTTTCACTTAAAAAAATCCAAATATTAGCAAAAAACCTAAGATGACCAGTCTGTCATTCAACTCTACATCACACTGTGTTCCTTAATCGTCTCTCTTTTCTTGATGGGCATAGGCAGTTGAGACAGAAGTTTCTCTGACATAATTGTTGCTGTCACTACAAATCTTTGCTCCCTCCATAAAGCAATTAAACAGTTAGACTGGACAAATTCTTGTACTTAATAAGGTGATTTCATCTTTTTGTAAAAATAACCTGCTATGCTGAGTTCAGCTATAAAAGATTTGCCTAAGAAGAGGAAAAGTTTTTAGTGTTCACTGACACTAGTTTGCAGAAGTGCACTGGCCAAAACAAGCGGGAGAAATGAAAACACAGTATGGATTTTTTTTTTTTTTGTGCTTTTGTAAGTGCAGCCATCTTTTTTCATGTCCAAATTAACAATATGAACTTCAAGAAATTTGAGCTGACTTTAAATAAGCATTCTAGAGTCTGGATATTTATAGAATTTCCAAACCTTTAGAGTCTGTAATATAGAACAGAATTTTTTCATTAAATCAAAATTTCACATGAAACTTAGCAATTGTACCTTCTACTGTAGCTGGGAGAGGAAAAAGAAAAATCAAATTATCCTTTGATGCCCACTTGAAGTTCATTCATATCCACTCACACCTCAACAGCTGCTCTGAGATCCTGTCAGGCAGTACCATGCAAACTGGTTGTCACTATCCTTTTCAAGAGAGCTTTAGGCTATGGAACTACTACATAAACATAACTATAAGACTGGGAAAGATATATGTAAGATACATATATGCCTTTTATAATATGTACACCCAGAGCAATAAGAGTTTTTATAGAAGACGCACATAGTTGCAATTTTTAATTACAAATTATAAAATATACTTGGCCACTCCTGGGCCTAATAATAACAATAATAATAATAAAAACCTAAAAAGAAAAAATGTTATAAAGAAAAAACTTATAGAAGAAAAAATGAAGACTAAATGAAGGAGGATCAAGTATGTCAAACAAAGCTCAAATCTCTCTAGAGAGGTAATGTAGCAATATGACCCTCCAGGAATGAAGCAGATACTTTTCCTATGCTTAAATGAATTGAGGTTTTCTACCAAGAGGCAGATTGCTCCTGACAAGCCTACCAAATGGTAAGACTGATTTACCATACACATAACATAAATGTAAACCAGCAGCAAATGTAATTTCTCCAGTAAACCTGAGATCTGTCTTAATGGATTACCAGTAGATGATTTTTATTCTCATTGTTATATGTCATACCTGGATATTTGCCACCCTTATTCCTCCTTATGAAGCAAACAATCAGTAAAATCAAGATCAGAAGAGCAACAGCACACATAAGACCAATGAACCATCCTTGAGTAGCGATGTCTACCTGCCGACTTGCCATTGCTGGAGAATAAAAGAAGAAAAATTAGATGTTTTGCTGCATTTAAATGCTATGCTATTTCAGATAAGTAATAGCCAGTATACATTGTTCGTTAATTAAGGAATAACATTTGCTGTGAAAGTTACTATTAAGAAAAACAGTGACACTGTATTTTGTGAATATTGTCATTATTCGAAATGTTTCCAAGTGCATGTGCATAGAACTTACTTTTGAGTATATAAGAATTCTGCCAACATTTCAGCTTAGCAACTATTTTGCAAAATCTGTGCACATACTACATTGCTTTCCACAAACCTCAAAACTATTCTCAACCATTCTACATTAATTAAACTACTGAAATGAAATTGCAAATTATAACTCACATAAACACGTCGATTGCGTACTCAAAATTAATAAAAAGCCAATAGTCATTAGCTAATGCACTCCCATCAGTCTGAAATGGGGAAACAAATTGGACATTCAAGGCCCTAACATTCAATTTCAACTAAAGATCAACAATGAAGCATCCTTTAAAGCCTTATTAAGCATCATGTTTTCTTCCTCTCCTCAAACCCGTACCTCATCCTACAACTTATCACGATTGCCGTGATTTAGCATTAGTGAGGACTTAACACAATGCGATTGGGAAGCCTTTCCTTGGCGCTGTTTCTCTCCAAATGCTGACTCTAGCTGGAAGATAATGTAAACGATAAGTAAACTATACAGGAAGCACTACAGTCACTAATAAGGACAGGAATTATCTGTGCGGGCTGGGGGCTGGGTCCCTCCTACTGGTCTCCAATATAGTAGGAGGATTTTCCTGGTGAAGCTTATTTTCTACTCCCCTGTTTGGAAACACACTACAAGCAACTGGCCTTAGGATTTGCTGTTGGGAGAAAGTGGGAAGTATGAGAGGAGTTAGGGATGTGTGCTACAGACAGGAGAAGACATGAAGTGGAGAAAGATGTAGATCCATCCAATCCTATCTCATTCATTCTTCACCTTCTCCTCCAGCCCCTAAACCCAAGAGTTTGAAACTCTATGAAGAGTTGCCCAATAGACCTCTCTCTATTTGGGAAACAGAGACAAAGATCATCTTCCCACACCAGTAAGGAAAGTGTCATGCAAAACACTTCCTATGCATAACTCAGTTCAGCAGTTGTTGTTTCTTCATAAGATAAGGTATCAGATTATTCACAGCCAGTACATTACCCAGGATTTTAGTAAGGATCAATAGGACTTCAGATTTCAGGTCAGTAGACACTTTGCACTAGGAACAGATTATATTTGAGACCTTCAGTCAGTCTCTGATGCTGTGAGTAGATGTGTGATGGACGGATGCTGTGAGTAGGGAAGGACCTAGACTTGCTTCCCCTGAAGTAGAGGACACAACGCATGAATAGCTTTACACACAGAAATGTGAAAGTCCCAGAGCCCCGTAAAGATTTCCATGTCTCCAGAGAAGATATGCTTTTAAGGGAAGGCTCATAAAGACACATCGGACAGACCGTATTTTCAATGGAGCATTATGGACTGTTTTCTAGCCACAATTCCAAGTGATATAGCATAAACTCTCCTCCTTACAAAACATGTTGGATGACATCTGGGAACAATCCTGTGCTGGTGCTGTCCCTTGAAGAATACCTGAGCCTTGCTTGGCAGAGAGCCAGCTGACAAGAGACTGCAGTGGGCTGGCAAGCCTGCTAACAACAAAATGTAACAATATTCCATTACAGCTCAGGATTCAAGCCCCTGTCTCAATGTTATTTACTAGTCAAGACAGAGGCTGAGACAGCTCGCTTGGAAACATCAGCTCTTAATGGTCCCAGATTCCTGTGGGTTTTCCATGGACTGTATGAAAACTCAAAGTATCTCTGATGTCTAGAGACAGTATCTACCCTCCATTCCACACAGAAGACCAATGTGTATTCCATTTTAGAAGTATTAGGCTAAAATTAACTTTTCTTTTTTTGCTGCCTCTTTTTGGTCTTAATGGGAAAAGTTATGTCTTGATTTTCATTTAAATAGATCAATGAATTAATGTGCCTGGTTATTGTAGAGTTACGATTTGGAGATCTCCCAGCCTTTGTTAAAGAATATGCTTCCTGCTATTTTAGAAATTTACTCTTTCTTATATGCACAATACTTTAAACTATTTTTGCATAGAAATGTCTACATCTTATATAAATATATAGCTTATATACATATCTTTATACTTTATATACCATATATAAATATATATATGTAAGTGGCAGTCTTAAAAAAAAAATCACAAAGGCAATCTTATTCTGAATTAAAAATCAAATTAAAATAAAATTTTGTTTCCATGTTAAGGTTAAAATTGAGTTTTCCACATATGCATTCATAATAAGGCATTAAAGGTTGTATAATACATACTGTGACAAAATGCAAAAGCACATTTAACATTCAAATGTAGTAAGAAACGGCATCAAGCAAAACAACTCATGCATAAAAATATGCAAGATAGATGGGAAAAAGTAAAGATGAAAACTTACTTATGCAGCTTCCTGTATTCTTTAACTTATTGCATATCCAGTAGGAAAGGGTTTCTAGATCTCAGTGCAACTTTTCAAATGGCACATTTCCTGCTCACACTAAGCAAATTATCTGCTCCAGGCAGAACGACATTTACTCTTGGTGAGCTGCTAATGCAGGAGCCAAAGCGATGCACTGTACTGGTATGCGCAAAAAGATAAACCCCACGCTATGAAGGGGCTCGACAGGAACGCTTGTCGAAGGAAAAAAATGTGGCAAAAGCCTCATGTATGAAATAATGCCATTTCACTCCTAATTAAGGACATATTCCCTATTCCAATATTTTCCTCTTTGTCCACTTCATTTTTTGCAGTGTTTAAAAGCTGTGATCTAGGCTGAAAGACAGCGTGACACAACGCTTTTCTGGAAGAAATACGCTATGTATATAATTTAATGCTGGACACTGAACCTTTCCATTATCAAGAAGCAGAAAAGAGTGTCTTTAAATTCCCCTCTTCCTTAACCACACAAGGACATGAGACAAGGTGACTTGGTACATATGGGATTCCTTATCTGCGCGCTCAGTTTTTTTTTGTGCAGAAAAACGCTTTTGGGAAGGTTTCCATTCAGCTTGTTTTGAATTGTACTATAGTCTTGATCCTTGCTTTAGGCTTTGCATGTGTGTTTGCATAAAATTTTACAGATCTGCTTTTATACCACTAGCTGTTTCTGGCATAAATAACCTCTGTGCTTAGCCTGTACGTATTTGCTTGGCACTGTTACTCAGCACCATGTTTTCAAAGCTTTCCTGCAACATGATAAACAGTGAGCAGAAATGGAACAAAACAAAGCAAAAAATTATGATTTTAGAAAGTGTTCACTTTCAAACTGGCATATTCATTATTTTCCTTGTTGTCTGATAATTATTACACATTGTCCAAGCGTATTTTCATATTTAAACTACTTTCTTAAATCATGACATTCTGGAGTTGGTGAGGCTACTGCTAAATAACTGTGGACTGACCAAAAAGCTTGGAATGAGCAGAAGTGGCTAGTAAATACACAACAAATAGTAACAGCTGACCAAGAACATGCTGTGATGGCAACGACATACTCAGTGTAACGTCAAAAAACTTCCAATAAAGCCCTTTCTCTGAGTTAAAGGAAAAAGCATTACTGATTTGCTTATGAAGAAATTGACTGAAACATCAACATAAGGAACTTGAACAGCCTTACTGATTTGAAGGATATAGTTATGACATCAAAATCTATCTAAAACCAGTATATGACAGGAAAAAAAGCACAAGTAGGAATCTCGTAACAGTGGTATATATAGATTACATGAGACATTGAATTGAATCTGCATTTCTGATGATGCAAACATTTTAGCTCAGATTTTTTGTATTAAAACTGATAATATCTAGATTATTAGCTTTAAAAATGTATACTTGGCTCTATTACAGTACACATTATTTAATATAGCCACCTAGTTACATTTATTGGAAATAAATGAAATAGGTAATCTTCAGTGCACAGCACACAGATGGAGTGTGAGCAGTGAGTATCGTGCCCCTAATACAAACAACAGACAAGTAGAGTGAACTGAAAGGATGAAAACATTCATAATATGCATAGCAAATGTGCTGGCATTACTTAGAGGTTCATAAAAGATTTCAACATTGCTCTAAAAAAAGAACATGCAAAGATGCTAGCTACAACATCTCTTAGCTAGAAGCAGTTCAACGTTTCAGCACTTGGTCTACCACCGTTCTGACTACGACACAGAATTGGTACAGTGTGCCTCACCTGGACCTGTCTCAAACACATCCTCTGAACTCCTAAAACCAGACAGGCCCTCAGCACCAACCCGGACTTTATATGCTGTTCCTGGTGTTAAACCCTTTAACACAAAGAAGCTTCGAGAACCATTTACAATTTCTTTTTTCCAATCTTCTTTGCCTACAAAAATTTTAGGAAAACAACATATTTGAATTTTAATTTTCTCTATATTACTGAAAGTTTCTAGACAGAGTACTATCAACAGTTAGTTGACTAAACTATGGATTGGCTGAAAAAAATAACTATTCCCTCAACAAATAATAAAATCATGACTTCAAATAATATATTGCATGCAATATATTGAAGAGGACATTGTACATGAATTATGAAACTATTTTAAACATTTGTTCCATTGTACTAGAGAAATAATATTTTCATTTATTTTTTTAAAAGGCTTCTTGAACTTGCAATTACAAAATACATTAAAATAGATTTTAATCATTTAATTAAATTCAAATTTTGTAGTCTATCAATATTTACTTTAGTCATGAAGTTTTACAACCTATTATATTTCCTGATCATTCTCTCATATCTTTTTCTAGTACAGTCTTAGCTGCTTCTTTGACCAAAACCCAGAAAAATCCATTTATATTCCAATTTTCAAATTGGTCATCTTTAGTCATAACTTTAGAAGAACAGAGTACTTGAATAGAAACAGCTTGGTTTTATTAGCTAACTGTTTTAATTATTAGTGGTATTATCAAAGATCAAAACCTGGGTTTACGTCAATAAAAATTTTAAGGTTTAATTGAACAAAGAATATTGTTTTGATTGTATCTTTTTTTTTTTCCCTGAAATGGGCATAACTTAGGAAAACTGTTATATCCTATTTTAATGCAAGCGGTCATATTTTTACACATGTAATCACTGCATGATAAACAACTTCATCCAAACTACATTTTTGGAAGTTCACATTCAAAAGAATTTATAAAATACAAAGGAACAAAGGCTGATATTCTAGCTAAGCATCAAATACCTGCTACACATTGAAATTTATTAAAATGAAAATTATTTGATCTTCCCAATCAAATTAAAAAAATATTTCTTCTAGATATTTAAGAGCTATCATTAACACTGGGTAAATTTAGGATGACATTTACTATAAAAATATTTGAAAATATATCTGAACACTTTAGCAAAATTTAATGAAATGACTTCTTACTGCCTGCTACACCATATTCAACATAAAAGTTCGCATGATCTGGTCCCTCATACTCCCAACTGATATTGGCATAGGTCTCAGCAGCAGCTGTTGTAATATTTCTGATCCTTGGATAAAGTGGTTGCACTGAATACACAATAGAAAAACAAAGCAGAATACAAAATTGTGACTTCATATATTTAAAAAAAAATATTTTAAGAAGTTACTCTGTCAATTTAGGCCATATATAAGGAAAGTATAGTACATTTGTCATTGTTTCCATTACGGGAAATTAGTGACTAGAGTAGTGTATTTGGTAATTGAATCCTAGGTAGTTACTACACTATGAAATTATAAAATAAAAATCTATGCACTCTAACGAGCATGCCCTGTATCAAAAAACCTGACAAATACGTAAAAATACCTAATTGCCAAAATTCTGGAAAACATTATTTCTATTCATCTAGACGTAAAATGCAGACAGCTGGAAAGCAAGAACATTGTCAGGGTAACGGTAAATGGTCGGAGACACCACGTGTCACTGAACGGACTGCAAGCCCTTATAGGATTTTGTCTCTATTGCATGGATAACGATAAAAAAGGAAGACAATACCCTTATAGAATGTTGGACGGACAGTGTGCATGACTGGGGAGGTTGCAAAAAGGGTTTCTGAATATCCTTCACCATCAGAGATAGTAGGAAAGAAAAAATAAAAGAGTAAAAACACTTTTCATCAAGAAGTAACATTCAAATAATACAGTAAAACCTTACCTGTTAAATGAATAACACATGCACACTCTAAGTTCATGCAGGACTCAATCAGTTTTACTTGTTAAAATATGAAACAGTGAAGTGAGACACATGTATTTGAAAACAAGCTGGAGTATGTGTGTACTGTCACCTTTACTCTCACAGAACCTTTCTGAAATCTGGTTCATTAACGTTATGGATTCACAGCACCTTTAGACATTGGAACATTAGACGTCAAATATCGGAAAGCCAATATCAAAATACTCTGGCGTGAAGGACACAGATCACTCGAATGCAAGAAGCTGTTCATTTTAAGGTACTGTGTCTTACTGTGGACATTTTCATTAGACAACAGCACTTTTCACAGATTAGCATCATGCCCACATCTATGAAAAGAAGTGCTTCTCTCTTCAGCATCCTGTAATTAGCCACTTCTTTGCTCATACCTTTATTCTTTATTCTTCAATTACACTTGTTACAAATCAACAGACATTTCAGTATTTTTGTTTACCTAATATTAACAAAAAATAGATTTTAATAGTTTTAATAGTGTAATAGTGCAGATACAAAGAGGATGCTCCTCACAGGCATGAAATTAGTTTTTAATGAAAATGCCTCACTCGGTTTGCCACTGACTTTTCTATCCCGCTAAAAATATCTTTTCTGTTAGAAGCAACATCAAAAATACTTCCCAAAAGACCATGAAACATCAGAGGTAAAAACCTAGTCTCATTAAAGACAAATGGCAGAATTCTAATGGCTTCACCCATACCAGGGAATAAAACGGGCAAAAGCCCGTTCTCAAGGCAAGAGGTACTACACAGATTTTATCTCTGTACCTAAATTATTTTCCCCTCAAAACAGGATGGATTTATCCATGTGGCTGACTGGAAGAAGTTCCAAATTAGATTCAAAGAGAAAATGGCTTACTTTGGCATAGTGAAATAAGTAAATCTACACACAAGCCCCCAGCACAGACAAAATAATATGAGTACCATATCTAGACAACTATAGTTTCTGAGTCTTTTTTTTAAAAAAAACCTAAATTATGCAAATTCCATCAATTCTCCTGAAAATGTATTCTCATGATTACAAATTTTCACAGTATCAAACTTTTTATCCCCATACTTGCAGGAAATTTTTCTTAACTCTCTTCCAGTAGCACTCATTCAACTCTCCAATCTGTATTAAACCAATTACTCCCTCCTTTGATGTCTTTGAAGGTAAGTTGTGCTTAAATATTTTATATATAATTTCTTTCACCAATCAAAAATAATAAGGAATATATTATTTAAATAATAAATAATATCTTCATTTCTTGGCTAAAATGACCTGAACAAAATCAAATAGAAAGCATTAGATTTAAAAAAAGAGCCATCTAGGTTACTAAGTCAACACAAAAACTCCTAAGAAATATCAGAGCCAGAGCTGACTATGGGAAATATAGCATGTAATCATATACATTATGGTAATGCAAGGGGATTAGATTCTGCTTCTTTGTGCCACTTGAAGGTAGCAAGAGGAAAGAATAGCAGGCTCTAAATTTAGAGAGGTGTGGAGTCTGAGATTGCAGATAGGATATATAAACTTCCTTCCTCATTTGCACATAGGAACAGGTGTTTGTTCCAATCAGCATCTAAGCATTTGTTCTGTGCCAAGAAAACAACTGGTTTGTATTCTAAATACGACTTTGCTTTGTTTCATTAAATTGTATTTTCTCAAACCCATATTATCCCGGATTTTGCTCTAATTAGCAGTGTAACTGTATGACTGATATTTGTCACCTATGTTAAAGAAAGAAGAAATCATTAGCAATAACTTGTTTCAAACACTTGCAAGGAGATGCCACAGAATTACACCTACTTCTCCCTCCTCATGTCTGAGTGCTTGGGGATGAAGGAAACTGTCTCATTTTGTGTGAAAGACTCCAGATGACTGACAGCTTCTGTACCACTAAGCAAATTTGATAATCACCTTCCCTGTAAAACCTCCATCTTATCCTGTGGTTTGTTTTTTGGTTTGGTTTGTTTTTTTTCCATCTCCAAATTTCAGTTTCTGCTCTGATTAAAGAGTTGTCTGCTAGATTAAAGACCTGGTATCTGGAAAATGTCTTTCTGTGCATATGACTGTACATAACAATTAAGTTGTCTCTGAAAATTACCTTCATTCTCTTAGTGTCTTAGTTTCTAAATCTTCTCAAGTGAACAATTTATGCTTACACTTATCAGATGTACTCTTATCTGATATTTACCAATAGCTGTTTATAGAGATTTATCCATGTGTAATATTTGGTCGGTTCTGTTTTTTTCCTATTGAATAGAGTTCACCAAGAAATTTGTTGAGTAGCACATTCATTTTGAAAATCGTTATACTTGTAATTCTTCCTCTTTTTCCCTACTGATTGATCTAATTTTCCAGCAGGCCTGGAAAGTTTTAGTGAAGTTTGTTAAATGTGCCACGTAAGAAGATAAAAGACAGCTGGCTGATACATCCTGAGGTGACGAAAGCCTAGAGTCGAAGTAGTTACACTGTTCAAAGCTTGTCTCCGACCACCCAAACTCTTGCCTTTTCAATCAGCACACCTCTAATTATAATTAACCTCTTAGTTCTTCCATATGTTTCTCAGCACTGTTCACAACTGCAAAATGTGTGATTGTCAGCGTGTGCAAGTGCCAGTTGTGAAGAGGGGACAGAAAGCTCCGTCTCGGGGAGCAGGGCTTTCTCAGTAGCAGAGCACTGGGCTCTCTTGATCGGTAACGGCGCACGATGGTGTGCGGCACCGCTGGCAAAGGCGTCGCTCTAAAACTGATGGGAACGGGTTGTTAATAAGCAACAGTTTTTTATACAGACCGACTCTCATTCAGCTACCTCCAGTAAATTAAGCTCTTTTATTCATGCTACAATACAATGCAAAATTTAGCTGGCACTTCTGGGTATGGTTTCATTCCTGTAGTGAAATAAGGTATAAAAAAAGCATTTGTCAATTGTTGAGTAAGAGGCCTAGGCTCAAAGTAAATTTTTTCTTTCTTTTCAAATGAATTCCAGTGCTTTTTTAGTGGAGTTTTTTGTAGAATTGTATTTCATCTTCCAACCTTTTAGGAACACAGTTCCTCCAAACAACACAATTACACTTGGGCTGCAGATTCAACAGAATTTAATGAGACATGACATGAGATATGAAAGGATTTTAACAACAGAATAGGTACTCTCCCTCAAGATTTAGTCCACCTGAACAATAAATAGGAATTTTCATGGGATTCACCTGATCTTCAGGAAAAAATGGCAGGTAAGTGACAAGCACACATCTGAAGATTGGTGTCAAATGGAAAAAAAAAAAACAAAGCCACAGAGCAATATATCATAGACAATTAATTAATATACATATATAAAGAGAAAAATAAATTCAAAGGAAAAAATCCACACCCTCAAACAAGAAAAGATGAAGGAAAAAGGTAATAGATTCTGGCAGAGCTTGTAAAACACAGAGAAGGGTTTTGCTTTTGTTTGCCTGTTAACCTACAACTCTTACAGCACGAAATTCAAGCCTCAGTAAAACAGTAGGAGTGAATTCAATTTCTAACAGTGAGAGATGGGCATTTAGTCACTTCTAAGATTATTTAGGCCATTGAAAGAGCATTTCTGTAGTGCAAGAAATACAGAAGACGAAGAAATACAAGAAATTGTTTCACTGATAAGCACTTAGCATGGCATGGATTTTGTGTGACATTTACGAAGCAAAAGGTATTTGCAGAAATTTTTGCATTGCAATAATCATCATTTTCTCTTGTCCAGCATGCAAAGCATTACCATTGTTCCCAGTAGACTTAAAAGAGGAGAAAACAGTGGTTCTGCATAGCAGGCTGTACTGAAAGAATCACATGGATATATGATGGAGAAGTCCACAGGGAGAGAGTAGCTGAAGGAGCAGTACAAAAATACTATAATCAACTTGAAAAGAAACAGCAGCTTGAACTTGTTAGCAAAAAACGTGGAGACGTTATGTGAAATGATTCAAACAGGGAGGGAAAACAGATGGTAGGCAGGGAAAATGATTTAAAGAACAGCATTTTGTACGGACAAAGTAAATTGAAATGATCCAATCTTCTACGAAGAGATCAGAGATATGAACTCAGCTGAGAATGGTTCCTAGTCTACAGTGAAGAGCTACATACTGGAGATTCAGCCACAAAAAAAAAGTCTAGTTTCAAACCCAGAGGCTCGACTACTTCTTTTCCTCTCTTGCAACAGAAGTATTTCTGTCAATAATACTTGAGACACAAAGTTCACATGAAGAAGGCAGATCAGACTGAGTACTGCATTGACAGGAAGCATTAGCTTCAATTAAAGGTAACTGTGATGTCACAACCTTATTTTACTTGCAGTTCAGGACTGCCAGTTACCAGTGTCTGTGTGCACGCAGACTACAAGACCTTGCTTTCAAATAAAAATGTTGACTACATCAAAAAGAATCTGAAAAGTGAAAGAAGAAGGCTTGTGACATGGGACTGACACGTCATGTCATGACTCTCTACACTTCAGCTTACAACAGACACAACAATAAGCCCCTGCTACTGTTTATTTTAATCAGCAACTTTAATTTCTACCACTGGTAAAATTTGTATTCTCTTTCTTCCTCTATATATCAGTTATTTAAAACCTCTAATGGAAAAGAGTAGGAAAGACTTGACTCCAGAGATCACCTACAGCTGCTACTGTAATTATTTAATATGTAATCAGGTTCTTATTCCCTAATTTTTCTCACATCTCTGTTACCTCATGCCTGTCAGTAGATGTCAATACATAAATGCCAATATCACTGCACACTGCTTATCTAGTACTGAGTATAACACACTATGTTTTACATATGCAGTTTTCAGACACATTTAGAATACAGGTTGCTAAGAAGAAAAACAATTATTTTTTCTTTGTAGTGCCATAATTGGATTAAATTTAAGTCATTCATAACATCACAGTATTAGAAAGGAAAAAAGACAGTGCAAGTCAAATAGGAGTATCACCTATAACAGGATAGCTTGCCCATCTAGTAAAATAATGTGTATCATGATTTACTTAGGTGGGCTTGTGAGAGAATGACATGGATCTCCTCTGTTAAGCTCCCTTTAGAGAAGGAAAAAATCTCAATTATTGTAATTTGCCATGATCCATTGCATTTCTGCTACTTGATGTAATGGTACCGTTTGTCTAAAGAATTTTTTATTAGGATGGTTCCCTTATAACAGGGAGACAATAATTTCCTCCTTATATTGCCCCCCATTTGAATAGAGCTTCTAAGTTCCATCAAGCTAAAAAAAAAAAAAAATTACTCCTTTATCTAAATTCCTTAGCCTTGACCTCATATTTCATGTTTTCATCTAAAATTGTTCGTTTCCCTTATGGGAAAAAATGCACAAAACTTGCTTCTCTACTTAGCGGAATTAGAATTATTAGAATATACTGGATATCTTTACTTAACAGCAGTACAGTTATTAAAATCAGATAAACTCGGTTGGGCCAAATATTAGAAGTGTCAAGTGCAGCAGTAAGCAGACTGGTTACTTTTGTTTTAAAGTAATAAAAAACAATGAAGGGTCCATGCCTGTCTAAAAAGATGGCAAAAGACACATAGTGCCAAGAGACAGGGAATGTATTTCAGAACTACAATAAAAACATCAAGGCACACTAGGATCCTTAGATTTACTGTAGCAATATTTCCCTCTGCGCTTCAATATACAGTCCTACACTGAGAAGTGAAATATGTCCCAAGTGGCACAGCTTGCCTAGGTTTAAATGATTTGAACTTCTCCAGGACCTTGTGTCCAACATTTCTGACTGGCCAAGCTGAAGGTTTTCAGAGGCACCTAGCCAGTAGAAAACATCAAGTACAGAAATTTCAGTGCAATTTAGTCTGGCTGAATCAGGGACCTATTTTCTTAACTTCCAAGATAAATGTGCTCAAATTGAAAGAGAAAGGATAATTACATTTTTCTGGTAAGTTCTGACCTTTGAAACTGAAAAATGAGCTGCTTTTGATAGATCACAAAACGGTTGGGAATATCTAAATTTCACCTTCTCCTTGGTTTGGCTTTGAGTCGGCATTAGTAAAAACTTTATATACATATAGGCCCCTCCTGCACTTAACGGAGGACTAAAACTGCACTGCTGGGTACGGCTTCTTCTTGAGTGGGCTGAGTATTTCTATCTTCCAAATCCACCCACTCATGAGATCAAATAATTTGGCGCTTGATCTTGATAATACGATCCTCCTTGTCCTTCCTTATAGCCTCTGATCAGCAGTGAAACAGTTAACACGTTAATGTAAGTAACCACTGAGAACATTCATCTCAGACCTGCAGCAACTCAGATGTCCTAACAGATGTCATGGCTTTAGTTCCATCCTGTTTGCAGTTCCAAAGTTTTCCTTGCCATTGTAAGAGCTAGATGCTACAGGAATATGTGAAAACTTTGAAACCATAATCAGCATGGAACCAAACGGAGACATCTGCTTAGTTTTCAGAGAATCTGAGATGACAGCTCTGAAATGTGAGCTGCTCCAGCTGATGTTACAAATAAGACACTTTCTGCTAGCCACAGACTGTGACGCGGCTATAATTAGACCTCAGTTTCACACAGAGAATCCACTTTTCCTTGCATGGGTTTTTATAGTCGGCCATCAATAATGAAAATTTAATTTACATTTCTGCTGTTAATGGCCAGGACTACAAGCCAGTTTGATTGTGCCAATCTGTGCTGACTTTTCAGCTACAACTAGATTAAAAAACAGTAAGACAATTTGTAATTAAAATAAATCCACAACTCCATACACTTACCAGAAATGGAACTGGTTTTAGAATATACTTATATATCAGAGAATCACAGAATCATATATATACTATATTATATTATATATGCACAAATGCATGCTTACATACATATATATACAGCCTGATTATTCCAGACTGAGTGAATGAAGTTCTTTTCTATGTCTACTATCATTTCAAACACTTGATCATGAAGTGGAAAGCAAATATATGTAAAATAATTTATGCTATCTCTTACAAGTTTGTCAAAAATGTTGGGTATTTCATGTACAGAGTTTGATTTGGGATGTTTCTGGTCTGAGAATCTGAAGCACAGATGTTCATTAGTGTTAATGACACCTCTGTGATAAAACGACACATATGTACAGAGACACCTTTCTGACTTAAAGCTACCTAACAGTCCCCAGGACCACCTTTATCTCTGACAGTAAAGGTATCAAAATCCATAAAAACTGTGTGCAAAAATGTGAAGAACACCTTGTTTGACAGAAGAACTGCATCATAAAGAACTAAATACTACTGAATTCAAGAACAAGGAAGATAACACGTTCCCCTCACCAAAATATCCCCTCAAGCGCTCACTCACAAGATCTGTGAACCTAAGGCAGCAGGAAGCCATTTGTCTGATACTTGAACTGAGAACTACACAGAGGGTATTGTCAGTCATCTGTCTCCTATGCACAGTTGGCTTGCAAATGAAATAAATGTGATCAAATGGGTAGCACTAATCAGCAGTGAGAACAAGAACACACCTACTTTCTTAAAACAAAAAATGCACATGGCACAGGCAATAAAAAAAATCTGCTTTGCGAAAGTGCTGTTTTTTCTACTCTGGCTAATCAGTGCTAGTGCACCTGGATCCTGAATATTTATGACAGTGACATACATCTGTTAAATGTTCAGAAATAATTAGACTTTGCTGAAGCAAAGCTAATGAATTCCCTTGGAACTCTGTGGCAAAATAAACAGATGAAAGGTATTAATAAGCATTCTAGATTCCTTTTTTAAAGAAACCCAACAAAACAACAAAACCCACATGTTTTCTTCCAGCACTGATTATTATTTCATATAGCAATGTATAGTCCAAGATTTTCTGTCCTTACCACTGCAATTTCCCCATTTGCAACACTGCAAAATCCACATATTAACAAATCATGCAGTTTCATTTTACCTTTGCCTGCACCTACAGCAGGACGGAGAATACCAGCTTTAATGGAGGAAAACAAGAATAGGAACACTATATAATTAGATACAACACCAAAGGGAACATACACATATAATTTCATTATAAACCATGAAAGCATGCAGACTAGATAAAATGTATTAATTCAAATAAATTAGAAACAATCCACTTAAGCTGAACACTGACAGACTAGTACAAGACAAAAATTAAAATACATGCATTTACAAAATTTTATTGCTCATGCTTGTTAAGATTCACGATGTAAAATAAATGTAGTTCATATGCAACCTTAATACACTATTAGAGAAATTGCATTGCATACCAACTCATCTATGGCAATTCCAATAAACTATAATTTTACTAAGCATAGAAATACGTGAAAAGATGGTATCAAAATAGACTTTTAATATTAAGATGTGCAAAATTCCAACAGGCATTCCCCCCAAATTTCCCCTTTGCTTTAAATTACTCTGATTTTACTAAGCTTTCATATTTAATTAAATAACATCTTCAACAAAAGAACTGCCAATATCAGAGATCTAGAATGGCTACAAATGCAAAAATCAGTAGTGACAGGATTGAACAATATACTTAAGAGTATTTAAATACTATATAATGACACCAGCTAGTTGGAGCCATAGATGACAAATTTATTTCTGCACCTTTTTTGAAGTTAGTTTCTGCAAGCTCTGTGAAAAAAGTTTAGACCTCACAGAAGCTGTTGCATATTTCAAGGGAGACATCATTTCCTCTAACCTTAAAGCCGCATCTCTGTGACCAGAGGTCAATGAAATAGAATAGGTGAACGGAGGAAGATCAGTTAAAATGTAAAGTTTCATGCAACTTTGAAGCTCAGAAAAGCCGAAGTCTTAGATCTTAAACTTTAAGTTTATATGAAAAAGAGAGGTTTTACACCTCTTTTGGGCTTCCACTACAGTAGAAAACCTTTGCACATCTTTTCTTAAAAACTATTTAAAATCTTTTATTAGTGTATAATACAGTTAAGAAAGCTCTAGAGAAAATTTACTAGGAGCTATTTCCTTAATGGAAGGAAGAAGTAGTAATATTTTTAATAAAATTTGCAGTGGTTTTTAAACTCAATGGGCTTTCTTTATACATACCCATCTTACCTTCATCCATAATTGTTACTGCTTCCTCAGTTATCTGATTTCCTGATCCAACTGAAGTTTGTGCGTTAAAGTAAAACTTATACCGTGTGCTGTAATTTAAATTTTTTAATATCAAGGTGCTCTCGTTGGCAGGAATTCTTATCTCTACCAAGGGACCTAATTCATGTGTGTTGTTAACTGTTGTTACAAGAAAAAAAAAAGAGAAAACGGTTAGTTAGGAAAATTGCCTACATTTTAATTGTGTTAAAACAGATCTTTTTTGTTTGTATTTATTTGTTTTGTCTGCTGCACTGTTCATTTCAGGTTATATGAACGATAATCTACAGTTTCAAAAGAAAGTCACCTATGTGTAAAAAGGATCTATATGAGCAGCTAAAATTCAATAGGGAGATAGGAAACAATAGGGAGATAGGAAAATACTGAAGTGACTTGTATGTAATCCCAAGGAACAGTGGAAGTTGGTAAGTCGAATTAAACAAACTTCCTTAACCTGTTCTGTGCACACACATCTGTCACTGCTGACCAACTTCTGGGCAAGTAAGCAGTGGCATGCGGATCCTAAGGATTTGACTGATAGCTCTGATATGAGTAAACAGCACATTTATGAATTCTTCATTTTAAAATTAAAATACCATGATAATTGAACGAGCAGACAACAATATAATTGCAATATATTTTGGTATACTTCTAACGGTATTTTCTCTGCAGTTAGAATACAGGATTTGTAAGACTAACTAGGCTGTCAATTTATGTAGGACTTCATCTCCATTTTTCTGTGAAGCATGGTTTGAAGAAATAAAAGTAATGGAAAAATGCTAACTTTGTACTTGAGCAAGTGAAGTTTTCCAAAGTCATCTATATTGTCAAAATACAGTAATCTTTTTCAAATTTGACATCTACCATGTAATCATATCTTTCGTACATTATAAATGTAACATAATTATTTCTTAATAAAACGATTGCTATTTGAAAGACATATTGTCTAAGTTAGGGTTATATATTCATAATTAACTTACTTGGCTGAAACTTCAGTATATATGATGTCAAAATACCATTTGGATGGGTAGGTGAACCCCACTCCAGAGTCAGAGAGTCCAATGTTGGGTTAGTAATCTTCAAAAAGGAGGGCGAGCTAGGAACTTTTAAGAAGAATATACAGTAAATACAAAGTAGATTAAATTAAACCAGCTCATGAATTATTAATTCTTAAGAATATTACTGTATCTAACAAGATTATTATTTTATGATGTCCAAGATGCAAATTCAATTATTACACCCTTAATGTTCTATTTCTGAATATACCACATTTAGTTTATTGTCTAGCTTTCTCATTTCATACCTCCTTCCGGGGTCTTAAATACTTTGTCTGGGCTTGCTGGTCCTTCTCCTTTACCATTAACAACTCTAACATTCAGCTTGTAAGAACTATAGGGCTCCAGCCCTGGCAACATTCCAAAAGTCTTGTTTCCCCTGAAAGTCAAGATCTTTTTTTCTACATGTCGTCTACTCCTTCTGGAGAGACTCTGTACTTTCCAGTAGTAAACCTAAAGACAAAAGAAAATCTACAGTGAGTGTTAAGATGTTCTGATTTTACAAACTCTAAGCTTTTCCATGAATTATAGGTAGGGAGAACTGCGATTTTAATAAGCTCAGATGAGACACAGCATAGAGCTTTCCTGCTCCAGAAACAGATCTTGTCCAGAAACAGTCATGTCTACACAGCGGGATGAAGACTATATCACCTGCCAGTTCTGCTAATTCTCTGCTAATGCCCAAAGCCAGTTTGACACAAGTTCTAGCTTGGAACTGCATTAGTATGCAGTGGTTCTCATGTTAGCAAGTCCATCTGAGAGGCAGGACTCATTTACACCATTCATTCTTACAGTAAGATCCCAAACACAGCTTCCAAAGCAGACTTGCACTTTGCCACCTTGTTATGTCATGCACCCGACCATGCTATTCCCTGGGATGTGGAAGCCAAATAGATATTTTTAAATCGGAAAGAAACCAAAAGATTTGTCTGGGCTGGAAAAACACACAAGTTCTGAAAGGACTCTGAGGTTACAATCATAGAACAATCTCAACCTAGGGACAGGAAGACCGTTCCTCCATTTATGTGACAATTACATCAGACCACAAAGCTGTTTCTGGTGTCCGTTTTGCTGATTGAGTTTCTAAGAAACTACAGATGAGCAATTGCTAACTACCTCAGAGGTAATTACCTTGACTGCACTCTCTTTACTACAGTCTCTCTGCCATGACATTTGGAAAGATAACACTTGCCCCTACAAAGACCTGTGTCACTCCCAGGACTGTCACATTAAAATCCACCAATGTTCATTATTCTCAGCACAATTTTCATGCATGTATGATCACACGCTAAAATTGATAAAGCAATGTGAACAGGTAAAATTCTGGTTCCATTTAGGCCAACTGCAAAACACCTCTTCAATTAAGGAAGCTGGGATTTCACACATGGATTCATAACAGGGAACTGTAGAGAGTTACAAGCTTATAAAAGCTTATAAAGCAACATTACACTAAGGTCAGCTTCCTATTGCTAACATCATCTCATTTAACTCTAATCACTGTTAAGTACCACTGTGTTTTACATGGCCTGAGTTAATGTTTTTCAGCATCACCAGCTGTCATCCTGTAGCTCACATCCTAACAACTAGTGTAGAAAGCCATTTACAAGCTAACAAAACCTTGAAGTGTTGGTACTATTATCATTGAAACTCATCGGGTATAGTTCATGATATTTTAAGAATTGTTAGCCAGTAACTTTTCATAAAGCACATTATAGTTGGGTGATCACTGGTCACTAGCCAGGCTGGAATTAAGAGAGCTTTAATAAGCTGGGTTTGATAAGTAGTGATTTGGAAGAAGAATATGACAATAAAAGAGACATTTTTCACATACTGTATTGAATACCCACTGAATTCATAAGAATAACAGGAAAAAATGGCAGCAGTAAGAGTGAAAAGAATTCTTCTTAAAATTTCATCTCAGGTTTGAAATGCTTTATAGTACCATGGTTTATTGAGTCATAGCTAGATTAATACAAAAGCAAAACATGAGTGATGTGCAGTAGACTGCTGCTAGTTAGATGTCTTCTGGCTTTGTTCATATATTTGTCTTCACAACGTGACTCTTTGGAGAAATACCTGTCTCTATTTGGAAATGTGTCCCTAGTGCAACACTACATATTGGGCTACTGTCTGAAATTACTTTGGTAATTAGGGAAGCCTGAGTTTCCTAGTAGGATTTTGCTGATGTGCTTAAAGAGAGACAGTCATGTGCTTTGTAAGCTGTGTCAATTACTAAGACACTTAAAGCGTACTTGGCGTCCACGAGAAGTTTTCAGCTTGAATTCAGAGAAAGCTTTATAACAATAATTAACCACTAGGTCTTAGGACTTCTCATGCCTTGCCTAGCTTTTAACCTATTTTAGCTTGATTTAGCTGTATCTGCAAACACTACTTAAGAAACTCTTGCTGCATCTGCAATTTATTCAAGGATTGAATTGTCTTGTTTGTCCCAGCCATAACGGTAAACTACTCAGTGGTCAGGTCTGTTGCCACTTCCGTGATTTTTGAGCTTGTTTTCTTGATGATGATTGACTAACTTATTCTAGCTTCAATTTTGCTTAGCTTTGTGTAATTGCATGGTTCTTCTCCCCACAGAAAAAAATCATACTGTGTACAGAGAAGGACTAACACACTAAGCAGAAGTAACCGTGGCATGACTAACCCCTTACATCAAGTGGAGAGGAAAGCGTGCAACCCATTAGCAACCCATAACAAGACAAAAAACCACCCTCAGAGACTCCAAGTCTGAGGAAAAAGAAATCTCCACCTAAACTTGGGATGATGACAACTCACTGTTACCGTGCTTCTGACAGGTGATGTATGGGCAGATGTTTGCGTCTATGGATTTTTTTGGTATTCTTAACGATCTTTAACAGAAATTTGGTGATTTGGATTATAAGCATTAGCATTGCTCTAACTGGATTAATAATAAGCATTAACTTCACTAAATTCTATTTTTTTAATCCTCACATAATGGACATTTTCTTTTGGTTGCCCATTTGTGTGTGAAATACCAGGTTGATACGAGATGTCATCTAACAGATAAACATCTAACGGACTAGTAAGTCCTGTTGCTCAGTTGAGTTTATGTCCTAGTTTTAGCTGGGACAGAGT